CTCAGCCCGTGGCTTACATAGTAAACACATACAACTGTGTGCAGATTGCACTTTTGATTCACTTTTAACAATTGGATATATGGACCATCACCTGTTTTCTCTCCCCTTTCACTTTACTGAATAGCTTGTGTGTCATAAATGACAGAAAAGGGTGGGGTGGGGCCTCTTCAGGAGGAGTTTGAATGCAGGGAGGGAGCCTTGCAAATCAGTGCAGAAAGGGTGTTCCACAATTGAGGAATGTCCCAGAAACAGCTGTGGTACTTTATCAGCACTAGCTTGGGATAGCTGCATTACATGTAAGTGGGGAAGCTCCAAACACAACACATAAATAATATTGATGAAGTCATGTGTGTGTGTATAAACATATACTTTTTTTTTCCACACACTCCACAAATTATGCACTCTCTGTGACATAGGATATACTACCCTCTTTTCCATATAAAATCCTCTGGAATTACAGTGATACCCCAACTGCTTTAGTGGCAATAAAAACCTTTTTGTTTAACTCTTAAATTTTTGAGCAGCACATTGTCAGACAGTGTCAGCACATTTCCTTGGGACCAGAATCCCACAGTGCATGTCACTACACTAAAACAGAAGGACACTAGTCCATAGAATCTCATTTAAGATAAAGATGGTTGAAAAAAATTCAGACAAGTCTTCACAAACAAGTGATATAATTTGTTGTGATTCTTCTCATAGTGAAATTCACAGCTCTTTGCTTTGTCCTCTTTCCTTTAGTAAACAATACATAATGGAGTTTGAACACTTACTTTGTAGGTCCTACTTCTACATAGTAAGACAGTCATTGTTTGTGAGATCCTCAGTGTTTCTTTCCCTCAAGCTGCTGTAAATTAATTTTTTCAGTTTGATAACTAAGCTTTAGGCAGATTATTACTGTAGTTGTGAGCTTCAATGCTGTCTTCGTTCTGCAACTGGTTATGTTTTTCTTCTACTAAAGAGAACTCTGAAAACACTCTGCCTGGTGTAGACACATAGGCAGTGTCTACCAAAGCATAATGCTGCAATTTGCAGTAGCTGACTTGTTTCAGTAACATAAACAAGACAAACTGTAGGTAGAGGTAATACCTTTTATCAGGTATTTTTCTGGTACATCTTATAAAAATTAAGCCATTTGCAAACACAGAAAGCTTTTTACAGGGAAGATGACTTCAGAATGAGAACTTGTGATCACTTTGACAGTGATTCCATTTTTGCTGCAGTCAACAAGGAGTTGACAATCATAGTTGACACACCTGAGCTGACACATCTGAGCTGTCCTTACCCTGCAGAACTCTGCTTCCAGAAACAGCACAGCCAGGTCAGCTGCCCAGCCTCCTGGAGAGATCTGGCAGGTTGCACTGAGCTCTGTATTGCCTTTGTTTACTTAAGCCAAATTCTGGTACCTCCACGTGTCACATCTTGATGTCAGTGTATTCCAAAAAACAATGAGAATTTATCATCTATGGCTGAGACTCAATAGACTGATCTCTGGGAATTACATTGTCATTGAAATGTACTCAAAAATGGAAGAAAAGACCTGGGTCAAAAAAGAGTTTTTTGCTGGAAGGGTGGCTGCCTGAAGAGAGACTGTCAGCCATATTAGGTCTCTGTAAAAGTTATTTTTGTGCAGACAGAAAATAAAAACCAAGGTGATGTGTAGTCATCTAGAATCAATGAAAGTGGGTGCCAACATCTTCACGACATACATACTGAGAAGACGCCCAGAACCATGCATACATGCTGGTTTCTATGCGGAAGGTGAAGTGTTTTTGCAGGGTTTCTCACCTCTGTGTAAAGATGGAAATCTGGGACTTTTAAACTGCTGCCTCTTAAGCGGTTCCTACATCTTTAGATTACATTCAAAAGAAAATGTAAGAAGTACAACTGACCTCTGCAACATCTCTAAGGAACACTGGACTGCAATCTGGACATAATCTCCGAGGGAAAAATCAGCAGCATTGTAAGAATCCCATGGTGGTTTTACAACAAACCTCCAACAGGTCACAATGGGAGACTCTTGTGTCTCCTTTCTTGCTAAATCCAGCTCAGCAGCATTTCTCAGTGTGTTCAGAGTGTATTCCCTGCATTACCTCACTAGCAAAAATCTGCTATTTCCCGTTAAATGTCTTGAAAATGCATATCCAATAATAATCTTTTTATGTGACAATTCTAAACTTTAATGATTTGGACTGATAATGGTAAAATCTCCTTTTGAGACAAACCAGAAACATATCGAACCAATTTTTTCCCTCTTTAATAGTGCAGTTCCCTGCTTTCAAGACTTCTACTGGGAACTCTGCAAATGCTTTAAATGATTTGTCACCTTTGTAATTTATTTCTTCCTCAGTCTGAACAAGAGACTCATTAGTGTTTAAATTCTAAAGAAGCTTTGAAGACATATTAGTTTTTTGGCACTGTTAGATTTCTTGTGATGCTGCTTGCTAAAACTTATCTCCATTTCATTAGGAACAAATTGGATATGACTTCAATCATAATTGAGTGGGAGGTTTAATATCCATACTGTGCATAAAATTATAACCAAAAAAATATTTTTCCCACCTTAATACCCTTTAGCTAATAGCAGAAAGAGTGAGTGTGAAATCAGCAGTGCTGCTTATTAATCTGTATTAGCCTACACTGTTTTAATGTTAAAATATGAACTAAAGTAACTTAGAGTCTGCTCCCGTTAACTACCTTGTTATTCTGATAATTTATATGTTTCATAAAGGTTTTCAATTTCACAACGACAGACTTTGAAAAACCAAGGGAATCAATTAACAATGTGAACTGACTGAAAAGCTCAGGAACTTAAGTGAGGAAGAGGACTGAAATTTCTTTAAATCAGAAGTACTGAAAACAACACACAATCTGCATTTCACACATGGGGATACTTGTGAGAAAGGAGTTTCAGCCTTGTATTGAACAGACACTTAAACAGAAGCTGGCTAGTGAGAAGGGGGTCACAAGCAATGAATGATACATGAAAAAATACATGATCTACATGTAAAACAGGATCTTCGAGGTCTGGAAGTGCAGGGATTATGGAGCAGCTGCCACAGTAAAATCTACAGTAAGGTAGATTTTGCAAAGGAAGTCAAACCAAAGAAGAGCAAGTATAACCAGAAAAAGAACAAGCAAAAAGGTAGTAAATGAAGACTTAGCCTCAGTTTCATAGCAGTGCAGAGTGTGGAGACAATAGCAGGATGGACATCAGGAGCATGTACAGAAGTGGAGGCCACTGCAGCCAATGATCTCTGTCCCTGAACAGTGAATGAAACAGCCAGACTAGCATAACTGACTTAGAACAAAGAGTTCCCCACTCAGAATCAAGTGATCCAGCGATGACAGAAGTAAATGCAATGACATTCATTTAAAGAGGCGGGAAACAGTATGTGTTAATACAGAATCATTAGTATGCAAACTGTTAAAAAAGATTTTGATGAAAAGAATTATCAAAAGCATGGAGGTGAGGAAAATGGAACAGGCTCCCAATGATTGCTCATGACAGGCTAAACTGATATCTTTGCTTGGCAAGATATCTAATTTTTTTAGACAGCAAGGATAGAATACTCTAACCAGGCTTCAGTAAAACATTCAGAAAGGTTCACCCAGAATAGGACTGGAATAGAGTTAAACAGGCAACCAGGCAGAAGAGAAATATCAATGGTTGTGTTGGCGCAAGAACCATTGGGATGGAAGAAAGTAAACAGAGTTCCACAGAAGCAGTCCTGGAACCAAACTTCATTTAATATTTTCATTTTATAGCTTGGCACAAAAATAGAAGATCAGCTAATAATACAAAGGGACTCATCTCACCTAAATCTTGTTGTCTAAAAATCAGGCTTTTACTGGAAAATAGTTGCTCCTTTCATAGTCAATGTAGAAACAGGCACCTCGGAGGGAAAGTCTGTCTAGAGATGTCTAAGATAGCTCCTTCTTTCCAACTGCCTGTAGAGGAAGTCTAGATGATTTTATTAAACAAACAGCCTAACTTTCAGATCGATAACCATGCTATTTAGTGGTTGGCATAACAGACATAGCTCACAGAGAAAATATTTCATTCCTCCAATGCATGGGAATGAACTTTCTGCAATCCATGTATATATATGAGAGAGGTTTTGGGTTTATCTTGACCAGACTTGGTGTTCAGCTGTACCTAATGAATAGGCTTCCTACATTAACACACACCAGTCTTCTGCTCTCCAGTGGAGGCTGCTTACTTTCAAAGGGCAATACTGGTCCAAAGGAGGTTTGTGGGGTGAGGTTCAGAAGCAGATCTCCAAAGGCCAAAAAGCATCTGGCTCTAGTTTGCCTTTACAATGAACTTACAGACTGAAATACTAAGTATCAGGTGATGAAATAATAAAATACATTAGCCTTTAGTAGCCCCTGGGTAAGATTCTTACTGCTGAGATACATATCTAGAGAGGGGATTAGGGAATTAGAACATAAACCCCTTTTCTTACTTTGTAGTTCTCAGCAATTCTTCATCTCTGAGCTTTGCATTCTCAGAACTTAATGACAGGGTGCTGCATAAGGAATTACTAATGCAGCTTATATGAAGCACACCATGAACTGCAAACATAGGTTCCTTTGTATAGCATGCCAAAAACATACTCTTACGTGTAATCATCAAAACAAATAAAATGTGCTATTTTGATCTAGAAGATCTTTAATAGCTATTTTGTAAATAATAATCTGTCTTTATGTATGGTTCTGTCCTGCAGCGTAGCATTTGGTAGTGGCTACTACTGCAATCCACCATGTAATTGCTGCTCACAAAGAGGACTCACTTCAGCTAAAATTTCAAGTTGCGCAGTCCAGAGTAGAAGACACTGAATGTGAAAAGCCAAACAAAAAAACTGTGCATACTACCAGTTTCTTTCCCTTCCCACTGTTTGCTCCCCTTTCTACAATGTCATTCGTTCATCTAACAGAAACCAGGAGCTAGGTCCTCAGCAGTGTTAATGCTACAACAATGCTTTCTCCATACTCACTTTTGGCACATGAGGATTAAATTCTACTGCTCTGTGAATAGCTTCTACTGCATTCATCTCTGCAGTACTCAGCCCTCGTCTTGAGGCAGCCTCTGGAGAAAATCTACAAAAGCAAAGAAACAAACACATTAGGTCAGACATGCTAGTAAGAAAAAAACAGAAAAGGAATCTAGAACATGGGCCCATGTAACCAAACTGAGTCAATTCCCTATGCTCTCCAAACTCCCATAGCAAGTGGAAATTCTGAGTGATTTATTACATCAAGGCCAATGAAAATCCCAGCAGAAGTGGAAAGCATGTTTGCGTCTAATCATGGCAGAAAGTTGGTTCAAACAGTCCTTTCTCTGTCACTAATCTAAATTTGCTCTAGGTACCTTGCTAAGGGGCATATTCAAGGCTGAAGTTGCATAAAAAAGAAAAGCAAAAAAAAAAAAAAAAAAGCCAAATTATTGTTGGAGGCTTTCTATTAAAAACAGGTTTGGGGAAGTTTTAGGGAGATTCCCAACCCAATGCCCCTGGGTCAGGTTGGGATGGAAGCACGATGCAGCAGCAGTAGCAGGTGGTCTACTGGCCGCAGCACCATTGAGGGTAGCATGCCCAAACTGTGGGCAAATCATCTGCCCCAGTGAATGAAAAACCAGACCATGCAATCTCTTTCTCACCTCACACCCCACGGCTAACTCCAGAGCTGTACTTGGCAGGCAGACACCACAGGGAAAGCTGTGACAACCTTAGCCCTGCCCTCCCAAGCTGGAGTCGCTGTGTAGGGAGGAAAGATGTTGCAGTAGGTACTGGCGATCTACAGGATAAAAAGAATGAAAGAAAATTACTTAGATCTTGATGTGTACATACACTTTAAAAGCAAAAACTATCAGGATGTCAGTCAAGAAAATGGCTTTCCACTCTACTTGCTTTCCAACTTTAGGGAGGCATTCGACCCTCAGGTGCACAGACACAACTCTACCTGGGATTTGTGTGAAGGCATCTGAGAGCAGAATTGGGATTTTTGAGCTCCATCTCACAAGGAGCTGAGCACCCTTTCAGAGCAGGCCCATGCTCTCAAGTCCACAGGCAACAAGCAGATGTGCTCAGCACCTTGGAAGGTTGAGACTCAAGAGAAAACCATAACAGGAACGAGCAGATATTCGTGTCTCTAAAAATATGAACATCATCTACCTCTTGGAACCCCTGACATTTAGTAATGCTAAACCCACTTGCCGCTATTTAAGTAGATGAGCAGTCTTCTGACAGCACTTGTAAAACGACACTGCTACCAGTGCATCCACATTTAGTTATTACCTTTTTGTGGTCAGGTTTATACAAAGTTGAAGAAGTTCAGCCACACAACACCTTTAGTTGCATCTTCATTATACTGTCTAGGAAGCCAAAGCTCACCCAGATAGTATACATAAAACTGGAACAAGAATTGAATTCATATGATTTCTCTTCTTTTCTTCTTCTGTAATATTTGAAGTGCAATGTTTGATCACTGCAAATTTTTTCTTATATATGAAGTCCTTCTACGAATTTACTGCAGGACTGAATTTTCCTGCTAACCCAGCAGATTGTTAGGGTGTGGGCTCAGCTAAGAGAAATCTTGAGTTAAATCAGGAATTTTGCTGGACAGTGGTTCTTATGCACTTACTTGTCAGAGACAGCTCTGGCTTTGAGCAATGCAGCTGTGTAACATATTGTTGCTGATTTTGGTAAGCTTATATCTGTTGAAAAAAAAAGAAAAATGTAAACATCTGAAAATTTAAAAGCCTGCAGAAAGAAAAGTGTTTGATTGATACTTCAGAGTATGCAAGCCATATACAAAATTATTAAGTGAATTCAGAATGCTTTCTGATCTTGGGATTGTACTCCTGTGTCACATGGATTTTTAAATTTCCACCCAATATACAGGCTTTAAAACCCATGTTAATGACCACTGAAACTTCTATTTAAGCAGAAAGTGGGTTCACTAGAGAACTAATTCAAAGAGTGGCATGACAGAGACATACAAAAGAATTCATGTCTTCATACATAAATTTATAGGTAACCTGGAATACAGGAATTTTTCCATAGTCCACAAAACATCTAGGTAATAGCTGAGTGCTATCTTATTCACTCCTCTTGTTTTCACACAGAAGCAGTTGTCTAATATGAATTTGTGGCAGCTATACAAGTTAAGACAGCTATTTAAATAATAATGGATTTGACTTACAAGCAAACAACTATTAGATTTATTGCAGTTAAAGATCAACAGTAAAATAAAGTGCTTTGCCTGTTAAGGAGATCTTGGACCAAAATACTCACCAGTCATTCTCTGGCTATTTTATGCTGTTCCAGAGACACATAGGAGCTATAAACCTGACTTAACCCATTAGTTCAACTTAATTTATACCTGTTCTCTACCAGCAGATTGTCACAAAGCATCCAAAAGGTAGAGAGAAATGCTGCTTAGCAGACTTGAGCTATAGATTTGTTCCCACTGTAACAGAGAAGAATTGACTTCCACACTAGTAATCTACCCAGGAGACACATATTATATAGCGACTGAAATATTCCGTCAGCAAAAAGTTAGAGATTACAGCTAAATTAAAAAAAGAAAAAAGAACAAGCCCCACAAAAGGCTGAATTCTGCAAACACTTCTGCACACTGCCTATCTACTACTGTAAATATATCCCAATGAAACAGGAAGCATTAGGCCCTGAGATAATATTACAACTGCCTACAGTAAACAGCAAACACACAGAATATTAAACAAAAGGCACTGGAGTAGGCCCATTGTAAAGATGAACAGCAGCTAACCTGACTATTGTTCTAAGAAACTATCTGTCCCTCAGTTTGTCATTAAAGTTGATTAGAAAGAATAAATTACTATAGAACTTGGTAATTTTAGGGGTAAGAGACACTTGTGATTTACTGAACCCCAGTGCCTTGCAAGACAGGGCTCCAAAAAAGGTGTTAAAGAGGACAAGCAAGTTACATCTCAGCAGTCACCATCCTTCACTTCTTAACAACCAACCAAGCAGAACGTTGTTCTGTTAGATCGAAAATGTTGCGAGAATGACTGAGGCACTTTGAAAATGCTACCTGTTAAATCGCCTCTATTGTCTTTTTCTGCAGTTGTGCTTCAAGTATGAGATGTAAAGATCTTGTTGGAGGCTCCCCTACAGTATATTCCAACTATAATTTCACTGGAGTATGTAATTGTAGTGATTAAAGTGATTAAAACCAACAGCACGCAAAGTAGTCTGGGTGATAAAATATGTTAATTACTACACTAATAGAAGCTAGCGGCAGAGACATACGTAAGCACATCTTCAATGACAGGAGGAGAAAACATTTATAAGCACCTTCAATAACTCTGCTTATACCAGGTTTTCCTTAACATTAGGAGTTAAAAGTTATTTCCAGTAAACAGAAATGACCTTTTTAAGAACATAGTAGTCTCTGTCTTTCAGTATAAACTTCATTAATCAAATCATAAATGGAGTGAAAGGTAGAGGAATGGAAAAGAAAAAGAAAATCCAAATCACAATGATGTGCTGTCATTTAGAAGGTTTTCAATTGGTCAATAGAATACCTTATTTTCCCCTTACCTGTAAGTGTTTCTCTGGGCCATCAAGCCACCATTACCTCATGGAAAATATTTTCCCCTGCATCAGTTCAAACATTGGTTCAGGACCTGACCTTTACAAAATTTTGCATGAATGACACAGAACAAGAGGTTTACTTAGAAGTCCCTGGAAACACATTTTCCCAGGCAAAAGGCAAACTCCACATATAAAAAAAGGACCAAGAAGAGAATGTTTGCTCAGACTTCTTCAAATAATGCAGCGAGAGCACCACTTCATTTTTCTATCTTTTTGAAGGAGCTGAAAAGTAGGAGGAATCAGGAGGTCTGGAGTATAAAACTGATGTAGCAGAGGAAAAACATTTTCTATGCCAATGAAAGCTGCTGGCTCAATTTCATTAAAGAAAGCAGGTATGCCAGCAAAACCAGAACGACAGCAAGAAAATGGCAATTCAGCTGTTAATACACAATTCATGAGGTGAAATAGTAAGACAACTCAACACACAAAAACCATCTAACTATGTGTATAAAGGTTAATTTCTGCATCAGATCATTGATACCTGAGTGGAGAATGTTCAGTGAAAGTTGCATGAACCAAGTTCTGATGAATATTACAATTACTGGCTAAGAGATTAAGATATAATACAGTAGGAACTGAGCTTGATACAGGGTTAAATATACTAAAACAAAACACCGTATCACAAAACAGTATCTTCTAGTAGGAAGTGCGTGTTCCTGAGCTGGAAACATCTGTGCATATAGATTGCAGGATGATCCACAATGAACTGCTGGCATCTGCAAGGAAGGGAAATGTGGTGATGTGAGGTAAGGCTCAGGTGCACCACCTGAGTTATTCCTGCAGAAGAAATGGGATTTCTCAAGGAACGTTGTGTTCAAATCTGATCACCCATGGTCAAGAACAACAAAAGTAAACTGAAAAACTGGATTGTTTTTGTAACAATTGACATGGAATAAAGTCTGAGAGAAGATAGAACTGTTCCCTACACACATATCCACAAGGAACATCAGGAAAGGAGAAGAGTTGCTTAGGTAATGTTGGCACAAAGATAAACAGTTCAGAATTAAATTTAGGCTAGCGATTAAAAGATAGTTCCAAGAAGTGAATTTTTGAGGCAGGTTTCCAGGTAGAATAGTGGGGCAAACAAAATAGCTAATTCTAAGACGGAACTTGCTCAGCTCATGGAAGGGTAATATCATGTAGTGAATGCAATGGCGGGGGACCTGACTCACCCAGGAGGTCTTTTCCAGTACTGTGCTCCTAATGAGCAAGCAGCAGTTATTTGAGGACGATACCTACAGTCCCTTGGCAGTGGAATACATACATATAAATGTTCATTTTTATGTTGCTGTGGAGATAGCCCTCAGTAGCTCCATGCCCACTTCCCTCCAAAAGCATTTTGCTTTTTGTTTGCTGCATATTAGACCACAGTATTTGGTTATGCTATAACCTGGTCTGATCACTACAATACTTCAAAATCCTCATATAATTTAGGCTTCATCTCCAAAACTGGACCCTTGTATTTTAGAGAAAAGCATAAAACAATTATGTCTGGTTACAACTTGAACTTAGCAAGGGAATCACATCTAAACTAGCCCTATGAGAGATGTCCTCTGTCAGGAACCAAAGTGAAGTTTTTCACGAATGACTGTGTCCAGCTCTGTGAGCCATCTGGCAAAATATCTTCACGTATATTGTTTCCCACCCTTCTGTGATTACTTGTGGATCTCCCACAATGTGCTGAAAGATGTGACTGCTATTCTGTTGTCAAAACCATCAGGGCATTTTTGCCTAATAAGAACTGATGTGTCAATCCAAAAAAGACTCTCCTTCTTCCTTATTGCTTGTATCTTTAAACAGAATACAAAATAGCCCAGACTTAGTTTGTGAGCATTTTCTTTCGATTAGCTCTAGTCAGCTATGGGAAGGGTTGGGAAAGTGAATTCTTACTGGTCATTTGCCTCATTAGCGGATGCTTGTGAGAGTGAACTAATGGAAAGATGCTACGGATAGAGACTTGCAACCCTAATATCGCTACTTCTCTCATTCAAGATATCCAGAATACACCATATATCACCTAAATAGGTCATGGGATCTATTGTTTTTATAAAACCGAAACTAAACCAAGAAATGATGAATCTGGACATGACATGGACTGGTGCAATGTCCCCTACCCAAGAGATCAGACGGCCCTAAATATGAAGTGACAGGTATGCTGCAATTGCTTTAGTCATTAATAAATGTAAAATCTAAGCCACTAATTAGAAATTTTTCCCTATTTTGACCCCAAAGCATATGTTATTCCCAAGTCAACAATACAGATTCCTATGGGCTTAATTTCAGATAGTTGAATAGTCTTATCAATACTAATAGGACTTAAATATTTGCTGAAATAAGCTGTAGATCTGGGGACATAACTTGCACAGTTAAGATCCTTCCAGTAAAACTGCTAGTTCTTCTTCATATAGCACTGGACAGAGACTGCCTTAAGCTGCTGCAATCAGTCACATTTCCAAATATGTAACCGAAAATATACCAACAAACTGGAAGAAGTTATGCAAAGAGGTAAAACAAAAAATGGTGGAATACAGGACACTTATTGTGATATGGCTTGGGGGTGAACCCCACTCTCATTTTCTCAGCCTGTCGGTAGACTCTAGTGTTTAAGTGATAGGTCAACACCTGCCCTGTCAGCACAGAACTCCCTCAGTTCTCTGCACCTGCAGGCTGGAGTGTCAACTCTTGCACAGGTGGTAGGAAAAATTGCTTATGGGAAAGATTGAAAGTGCTTTAGCAAATAAATATGTGCAGGCTGGATCAGTGATGACAGAAAAGAGATGCAGTCATCTATAAAGACACAAACATTAAGGAAGAAAGTTAATTAAGCTGATACAAATGGTTAAACGCAAGAGTTATGGGATGGAATTCAATAAAGGAAAGTACGAACTGAACATCAGGGGAAAAACACTTTGTCAGAAAGATCTAATATCCTGTAGCACTATCTCCCATGAGAATAGTAATTGCATTTTTCCACAAAATGTGGTAGAAAACATGCTGGAAGGAGCAAAAATATGAACACAATGATCTAACGCTTACTTTGTGCTTGCAAAACAAAGCAATTCCGATTCTCTGTACT